ACCACAAAGAACAAATGGAAAAGACTCACAAGTTACAAAATATAAGGGTCTTTGGCCCTGTCAAAAGAAATTGTTGTATAGGATCATAGAGATCCAGACTGAATTAAGATGTGCATTTTTGGCACTTTTTCTATCACGAACACTCATTTCTGTGTTTTGTGATCATCTTCTACGTTGGTTGTTTTTGCTCATGTTGTAGCTGTACGTTAAGAATTTGTGTGTGCACATATAGCATTTGTGGCCCTGACATAAGAAAAAAGCAGATAAAAATAGGACCTCAGTTCTCCAAATTTGCCTTATGATTGTTTTTTTTTAAAATAAGCATTTAAACATTGTTTTTAACCACAGAAATCAGATACCAAGAAAACTTTCATCTTATTCCTGCAAAAGCAAAATGGAGTTTCTAAGTCATAGCACAGCGTGGGAGAAAGTGTGTTTCATGCTCACTGGAGGAAGTTATTTTAGAATGTGAATTTCACTGGTATTTCTCCTGCTAAGGTGCCCTGACCCTCTTGACTAAGAGCTGCCCCTGTTAGCACAGCTACCCCCTCTCTGCAGCCAGGCTTCACAAAGCCACAGGCACATGGAAATAGTGGTGGTTGCATGGCCCACACACAGGGGTTCATTTTGGGACTGGAGGCAAGGGAATGTGGAAGGAAGCGGCTCCCAAAGCTGCTGCCATGCTGTGCTCCACTGCTCAGGATGTTGAAATGAGCTGTGCCACCCTCTGACTGGCGTGACTTGGCGCTGCACCATCATTTCCAGAGCTGGTGCTGCATGTGCAAAACAAAATCAGTCATATCATGCAGAAGCAGATTTCAGCTGCTTTGTTATTCAGTATTTCCCTCTTAGATTTAGAGCCAGATTAGGTTTCAAACACATCAAAACTCCAGCAAGTGTTTTCTTCAGATTTTTATCACAAAATGGTAGGAACCTTCAGATTTTTATTCCTCTACACTTCACATAATATGGAGTTAAAGCCTCTAAAACATTGTCCTTCCCACACAGATGCTGTTACTGAATGGACAGATGAATGTCAAAATCAGGGATTCTCCTCATTTCTGTTCTACTGCCAGATGAGTAATGGTGACCTGGGATGCAGGGGCTGAGCTGTGGAAAATCCCTGCCTGTTTCTTCAAAACTGAAATCTCTTGGAGATTTTTTGTGTCTACACTCAAAACTTCCTGGAAATGTTTTGCACCAGAAGAGAGAAAATTTAACCAAAGCCAATGGGGAAAGCAAAAAGGGAGAGGCAATGATGATACAATGGAAAGAGGAGGCACAAACTTCCTGCTGTCTCTCTGTGAAGGGGCTGTTACCTCATTTGTTATGCTGCCTTGCCCTCAGAAAGTCCAGCTCCAAATCATCTCTCAACTCTGGGAAATCCCAGCAGATGTAAACAACTACCCAAGACGGCTTTGCACCCGAAGAAGAAGCCCTGGAGGAAGCGCAGTGATGGATCTCCCAGCACGTGCCTGCAGGCGCGGCTCTGTCTGAGCTTCCCTCGCCACATCACAGCTGGGCTGAGCTGATGGCCTCAAGGGCCTGATCCCACAGGAGCTGCAACCTGGCTTTTCTGCTGGGCTGGGAAGCAACATCCATGGCAAGGTCTGCAGCAGCAAAAGGAGACTGCAGACAGCCTTCATGGAATGGCAGAAAGTGGTGTGCTCTGAGGGTGATGTGAGAAGAGCCACAGTGACTGTGAGGTGCACATCTGTTCTGAAATACCCAATATGTGGCTCTAGAAGTAGCATGTGGTGGTTTCCAGGCAGGGACCTGGCTGGAGACATGCCATGGTTAAGGACCGTGATGCACATTTCAGGAGAGAGACACTCCATGCCAAGTGTCTGCACAGGACTCCCCCAGAAGGTGTCCCCTGTGCTCTGGCTGCATCCCTGGCAGCAGGGACACCCTGGGACACCAGGTCCTGCCCACCCTGGGAAGGATACCTGGGCTGTGGAACTCTGCTTGCTCCCTGCCAAGCCCAAGGAAGTGTCATTATGCAAACACGGACACAACAGAAGAAAGCCTAGACCCAGCTTTGAAGTTGAACCTCACTCCTCAAATGCCACACTACATTCCACTGGGCCCAGTCAAGAGCAGTAGAGATACTGCCCTTAATTTAAGAGATTAAACGAAATGGCTGCACACTGGGGTGGACAGGGCTTCTCTACCCTGTCTGAGGGGAGATCTCGTTTCAGCTCATCCAGTGTTGCAGAGGCAGGGAGCAGATCCCCACAGGTGGGAAGAGGATGCCCTCAGTCCCTTGCCCCATCTGAAAGGGCCTTGCTGCTGTGCAGTGTGGAGTGGTGCAGCCGTGCTGGGCTTGCTGGAGCCGTGCAAACGGGTGGAGCTGGGCTGCACTCCTGTAGCGCTGCACCTGCTGCACACAGGGCAGGAGCGTGTTTTGCACAAAAGAACCCACTTCCTTTGTTCTGCACTGCAAAAAGAAAAATAAAATCAGGTGGAGAGCATTGTTTTCCCTCTGTCTTATTCCCAAGGCAATAGGCACAGTTGTCACCCTGGACATGGCTGTCACCCAGAACTTTGGGCTCTTCCATCTGTTTTTGAGGCTGGTGATGCCACTTGGGTCATCTCCCTCCTCTGCGCAGGGGCTGGGACCCCGCTGACCCTCCTTTACCCAGGCCCCCTTTGACACAGCGACGGCACTTCCCCACTCCCGTGGGCTCCATGAGAAGTCCTCCATCCCCAGGCAGGTGGGATTCCTCTTGTGGGGTCTGCAGCTCTCTTTTCAGTGCCTTTGTGAGCGCAGAGCCGGGGAGACGGGAGGGGCTGTACAAAGGGCCTGCTTGACTGCTCGGAAAAGTCCCGGGCCAAGCACTGGTGATTCCGACTGGTCCAAGGCACTCTGGGCCCTGGGTGGAAGCCAATGGCATTTTGCTGAGGTTCGTCCAAATTTATTTCTTCTGCGATGGAGATAAAACTCTCATGTGGGAGACTGTCATGAGGGCGGGCAGGAGCTCTGCACTGTCAGTACCACAGTGAGCCCCGAATCGATGAGGCTGGAATTTGTTTCAGCTGCAGCTGTTTGTCGTGCAGTGCTTTAGGGAGATGAAAGGATAGTCCTGGATCCAGTAGCTGGTGTGGGCTCAGGATTTCTATAGACTCAACACTTCTCTAATGTTAAATCCATTGCCTGTTTTCACCATCACGATGAAACAGCTCAAGAACATTTGAACCCCACACAAGTCTGATTAGCTTAACTCTTGACAGATGTGCAAGTAGAAAACCCCTATTTTACTAGGGAATATTTTTAATAGTTTACTCAGTAGATATTCTGTTATTAGCTGACCTTTCCCTCCATGTAATATAAACCCTCGAGCAACAAAAGTATCTTCATTAACAGATGCTTGTTAGCCAATTTTCACTATTAGTCTTGCTAGGTACCTTCAACTTCTAGTAAATTCATTACAATAATGTGTAATTTCTCTACAGATGACTCACAGTACATGAGTACACAGATTAGTACTGAGTTTAATGTCACTGTTTTAAAACATTAGAAAGATTATGCAATTAAATAATTAGTTGAGCTTTACTGACCCAGAGGGAAATATGGAAGTTCAGCTTAACTGTAATCTTAACTTTTGTATTTATTGGCTTCAGTTTTTCAGTAACATCCTGAATGCTCTGTGATGGGAATTTCCTGGTTTATTAGGATTTTTTTTTTTTTGAGGGATAAAACCAGACACCAGCAAGATCATCACCACCACCACAAAAAAAAAAAACCCAGACCCTAGAACCATTTAAAAAAGCCTAAAAATTCCTCTTGGGATTTGAAAACTCTAGTGGTCTCCAGTAAAAAAGCCATGGGGAAACCATGGGGAAGGCCATCCTGCTGGTCACAGGGCAGGCTGCGCTTCTGCAAACATTTTGGGAAGTGCTGGGAAGGAAAGTACTCTCTCTTATGCTGTAAGACACACACATACAGGGCTGAGGGATAAATCACAGCCCTCCACTGCTCAGCACTCTGTGGGGACAGAGCCTGCTGTGAGAGTTCCAGCTAGGTCAAGGGGCTTTGCCCCACTTTCACCACACAATATATCATCTTAATAACAAAAATATTTTTCCACTGAGGGCAAATTGTTTCATTGAACTCAGTCTCTGCCCTAAGGAGCCATGCCCGGTGATGTCTCTATGTGTGTGTGAAAGGCAAATCTGGGTTTCACCACAGGCACAGCATGGCTTGCACTGGCCACAGGCACAATAAGCTCCTTTGAAAAATTTGCCACAACTTTATTGTAAAAGCTGCTGTGGTCCGATCGAGCTGCCGTGACCATGCGCTTGTGCCCGGGCTGAGCACCCTGGACCGCACGTGAACCAGAGCTGAAGTTGTTTTCATCGCTCAGTTGCATTTTGCATCCTTGTAGAAGTTTTCAGAGTAAAACCCGAAGTCGGCTCAGATGTCGGGAGCGATTGCCGCGCAGGTACAGTCATTTATCTTCTCCAGTACAGCCGCTACTGAGAATATCCCCCGCGGCGGCAGTGTGCCTCTCACATACCGAAAGAAAAAAAAAAGCCCCACCCAGAAAGAACACAGTTTTACTAACCCTAAGGATAAAAAAACCCCAACAAAAAACAACAAACAAAAAAAACCCCAAATCTCACAGCGCTTTTATAATGTGAGCGAATCCCGGGAGGCGCTCACACGGCCGGGGAGCCCGAGTGCAGGACGCGGGCAGGAGGCTTCGCGCTCGCCGCCCCCCAAAAGTCGGGCGGGAGGAGGAGGAGGAGGAGGAAGAGGAGGAAGAGAAGAAGGCGGCGGCACCGCCGCATTCAGGTTGGAGCCCCTGACCTCCCTTTCGTGCTTGTGGCTTTGACCATCCAGCCCCTCGGGGTCCGCGCCGCCGGGGACGGGAGGCAGCGCTGCGCCCGTCCCGTCCCGTCCCGTCCCGGCGGCAGCGGGAGGTGAGCGGCTGCGGGACACGCGTCCCGGGAGCTGCTGCAGCCCCGCAGCCGAGGGGACACCGCTGTCACCAGGCATGAGCGCGGACCCCGTGCCCAAAGCGGGGCGAGCGGCGGGACAGCGTGCGGGCAGCGGGGTTCGGTGCTGGAGTGTTCTCAGCTCCCTGATCGGACGAGCATGGGTCATTTTTTTTTTTTTTTTTTTTTTTTTTTTTTTTTTTTTTTTTTTTTTTTTTTTTTTTTTTTTTTTTTTTTTTTTTTTTTTTTTTTTTTTTTTTTTTTTTTTTTTTTTTTTTTTTTTTTTTTTTTTTNTTTTTGTGAAGGTTGGTTTTTTCCTCCCTTTGAATTTCTTCAGTTTTGTTGCTGCTTCGGTCCCGCCCGAGAGTTAGGAAAGTGCTCCTCAGCACTTCTGCCCGCCGCCCTCCCAGTCCCGGCCCCTCCATTTTTTGGGCATTTTCTCAATGAAGCTCCACATTCCCCTCGCAGTGAGTAAATTATATCATTGCCCCCAGATGAGTTTGGGACCTTCTTTGTGTGACAAGCAATTTCTCCTCCCAGCACCTCCAGTCCTTTCTCATATTGATTGGACTTGAGAAAAAACAAAATTAAGAGTAGCTCGTGATAAGAAAAGGAGAATGAGTCACAGCCACTCTTGAGATGCTCTCACCAAAATCACAAGAGAAGCATTTTCCAAATGACTTGAGCTGTGTGCTGCAGGGAGGGGTGGCTGGAGTAGGGGACAGGGCTTTTGCTTAGTGATGAGGGCCAGTTCTAAAGGTGCCGCTCTTCTTATCAATAAACTGCAGGTTTCATGTCTATTCTTATTCCAAGGGAGAGAGCAAGAGCTCGTGAGGTACCGTGGAAATGGCTCTTGTGGAGAACGTGTTCCTGCCCGCCAACCTCACCTCCAGCAATCAGAGCAGCTGCAACGTGCACAACCACCACTTCTCAACCAAAGTCACCTTCTCCCTTTTCTATATCATCCTGCTGGTGTTCGGTGCCTGTGGGAACGTCCTTGCCCTCTGTATCACCTTCCAGCGCAGGAAGAAGAAACTGAACTCCACTGACCTCTATCTGGTGAACCTGGCCCTCTCCGACGCCCTCTTCACCCTGGCACTGCCCGGCAGGATCGCCTACTACATCCTGGAGTCTGACTGGCCCTTTGGGGACTGGTTCTGTCGGATCACAGCTTTCATTTTCTACATGAACACCTATGTGAGCATCTACTTCATGACCTGCGTGAGCGTGGACCGCTACGTTGCCGTGGTGCGCACCAGGCACCCTGGCAGGATTAGGAAGATGAGCCGTGCCAGGGGCATCTGTGTCCTCATCTGGTTCTTGGTGTTCCTGCAGACAGCTCCGCTGCTCCTGCGGCCCATGACACGAAGGATGGGAGACAAACTGACATGCATGGAGTACTTCAACTTCGAGGAGATTCCCAATCTGCCCTACCTGCTCCTGGTGGCCTGCATGCTTGGCTTCTTCTTGCCTGTGGGCATCATCTTGGTGTGCTATGTGAGGATCAACCTCAAGCTCTGCCAGACAGCCAAGGAGAACCCGCTGACAGTGAGGAATGGGCACCACCACAGGGCCTTCACTGTCATCCTGGTGGTTCTGCTGGCTGTCCTGCTCTGCTTCAGTCCCTACCACCTCAACATTGTCCAATTCATGGTCAGGAAGATTCTCTACCAGCCATCCTGCCGTGAGCAGCAAGCCTTCAAGATGTCCCTGCAAGTCACTGTGGCATTCATGAACCTCAACTGCTGCATCGATCCCATCATCTACTTCTTCGCCTTCCGGGGCTACAAGCGGAGGCTGCTCCGCATCTTCAGGAACAGTGGCTCCCTGGCCACCTCCTCCACTGCCAAGACCCCGTCAGAGAGCAACAGCAACAGCCAGCCACCGGGCTCCAGCTCCGTCTAGCAGCACTAGCCCCTCCCTTTTGCCCTGGCTTGTGACTTATGGACCACCCTTGATGGCAGGAGGTGGAGTTGAGCTGCAGGACCAGCACCTTCAACAGGCTCCATCACTTCCCTGCCTGGAGCCAGGGGCTCTCTCAAAGCCAACCCATCTGGGACAAAGCCCTGCCTGGCTCTGCATGCCTGGCTCTGTGCTCAGCGCTGCTGCACCTGCCAGCCTGGAGCACGGAGAGGCACCTTTTCATCCCAGCCCCAGAGGAGGCAGCTCCTGCAGCTGCTCTGTCTGTCTGGCAAACCCAGCTGGAGGTTTCCCAGCACTGCACTGCATCTCTCTCCTGTGCCTGTCCGCACCCCCTGTGGGGCTGAGGTGTGCTGGTAACCACCATGGATGTCCCTCTGTCCCCTTCCCCTGCACTGCCCCTGGAGCACTACAGCAGCATCCCTCCAGGCTTCAGGGCAGACAGCATGGAGAGTTGGACTCAGGGCACTCCAGGAAAAGTCTGGGATGTTATTTGCATGCAGAAGATGGCCTATAGCTCCTTCTCCACACCGACAATCAGCAGCACTGTTGTCTGCCTGCCCAGCATCCCGCTCCTGCACCAGGGCTCTGCATGGGGCAAGCAGTAAGTGTGGGGTGTGTGGGAGATGCTGGAAAAGTCCTCTCCTAAGGAAGAAGTGTGAGGATGTGAATTTGTAGAGCTCCTGGATGTGCTGCTGCCTACATTCACCATTTGGGCAACTGCTTCTTCCCCAGGGGGCCCTTCATCACACCTGACCATACTGCAGTCGCCCTGGGACCCACTGCTAGGAAGGGGATTGTAGGGATGGCCTGGATCCCAGCCCAGCTCTAAGGCTGCAGACCTGCCCTGGATGTACTCATGGGACAAACCTTCCCCTTACTCCTTAATTTGAAGGGAGAAGAGAAATAGGGACAAGAAATGAGGGTGGCCTTTTGTGACCTTGACCGACCTTGAAGCTGGTGTCCTGAGGAGTCTGAGAGCCCTGCTAAGGGAGGTTGCTTGTGATTATTGCCACAGCAAGAGAAGGAGTCCTGGGACATCAGGATCCTGCTGAGGTTTGTGCCTCTCAGATGAGGAAAAAGTTGGCAGGAGCCTCCTCAGCTCTTTGCTGAAATCACTAGACTATGATAAAAGAAACCACACAGAGGTTTTCACTGTTCCTGGCATGTCTAGCCTTTTGTTTGAAGCTGGAAGGGACAGACACACACAGAGACCTGAAAAGGAAAAAAACCTGCTTATAAGGAAAAAGTATACCTGAAAAGGTTTCATGAACAGACAGTTTTGATTAATACAAATAATTCTTTAAGGTTATAACCTTTTTTTATGCCTAGAAAGTTAGTAATGGTCACATACAGCCCTTTGTTGTTTTAAATGCACATGAACGAGCTTTTGGACAGTGATGGTTTTACTTACAGGTATGGGTCTGAAGGCTGAATGTATGCTGAAGGCTGACAAAGAGGGATGTCTAAAATAACTCAGGTGGGAAACTGACTCCAGCAGGTCCTTTCTGGAGGCTGAGCCCTCCTCAAAGCAGGTTCAACCTTAGTGCTGACCTGCAGAGGGCCTTTGTCCTGAAAAGCATATTACAATGGACAAGAAAGAGCTGGGAGGGTATCAGTACTCTGAACACCCTTGAAGGAGTCTGTCTAGGTTGGTAGTTGCTGTACAGTTACATTGCCCTATTAATATGTCTGGGAAGTGATGGCTGGAAGGGAATCTCTGCATCACCTCATCCAACAGGCCACCCAAAGCAGGACCGTGCTGGCACAATGTCAGGCTGGACATGGCTTCAGACATGTCATGTTCAGACATGGGCATATCATGCAAACAAGGCTTAGAAACTCCAGGCAAGGTGGGTCCCCTTGCTGAGGTGACAGTTCCCACTCCGCATTGCCCTCTGGATAAAAACATTTTTCCCACTGTCATGTCTGAACCTCCCCACCCACAGGTGGTGGCTGTTGCCCCTAACATCACCTACTCATGCTATGAAGAGCTTGGCTCTGCCATCTTTGTAACTCAAATTCCGCAGGACTGTGTTGGGGGCTGCCAGTGGTTGGCAGCTATTGGTTTCCATGTGAGCACCAGAGCAGGGGTCTGCAGCAATGGCCAACTCCTTCTCAAGATCAAGACATTGAGATGTTTTGCCAAGTTGCAGTCCACGGCTGAGAAAAAGCCAATCTATGACCAAGCCTTGTCAGGAAAAGGTGGAGTATAAACATAATCATTTGCTCCTTATTGGACTCTGTTTTTCTCAGAAGTACTTTGTTAAGAAAGGTACCTCCACCTCTTGCCACCAGTAGGAGCCTTTGGAGTAGGAAATATCTGAAGAGTTGGGTGTAGTGCTGCAAAATGCAGGAGTGATCTGGCCTTTCTCCTCTGGAGGATACCAGCCTTGGCTACATTGCTTTTGAAAGTACCAGTCTGGGGACAGCAGGCAATTAGCTGGAGCTGAGGAAACATCCACAAGATGGAGAGGGAAGGGACTTGGGCAGAGTGGTCAAGAGGAATCTGGGCAAAGGAGAACTCTAAAGAACCCTCTCTTGCCCAGATTAGCTTGCCCACCTGCAGGTGATCCATGTCTGCTTGTAAAAGGAGCATTTCTCTAAAATTGAAGAGAAAACATAGACAGCATTTTGTCTAGAGGAACAGTTTTCTTACACTTTGCCATTCACCTGTTCAGTCCAAGCTCCTCGCATGATTCTTGCTGTACCTGCTAGCCCAGCAGCTACCGCCTGCTGCCACGCTTTGACCCACCAGCGATCCCTTGGAATCAGAAAAACGCAGAAGCACAGAATCGTTTAGCTCGGAAAAGACCTCTGAAACAATTGGGACCAGCCATTAACCCAGCACTGCCAAGGCCACCGCTAAACCATGTCCACAAGTGCAGCCCTGCCTGTCTGTTCAAGACGCGTCCCTCTGCTCCCCGGCGCAGAGCGCCGCCGCCCCGGCTCGGGTGCCCGGGGCGGAGGGAGCCCGCAGGCGCAGCGCCCGCCCCGATGGTGCCTCCGGGCGAGGGGGGCAGCGCCGGCTCCCGCCGAAAGAGGGAGTCGAACCTCTGCTCGGTGGGAAAAACACGCCCACGAAGCTGAGAAGCCGGTGACAGGTGGGGCTGTGCTTCCCCCACGCGTCTGCTGCCGCGTAGGAATGTGGCGCCTTTCGCAAGCCGGGTGGTGGTGGCGTGAATGGGAAGCACACGACAGCACACTGGGAGGGAAGCTCTTCTGTGCAGCGTTGTAACTGCACAGCATGCAGGTAATTCTTGCTTTTCTGCAGCTCATTGGTGCTGTACTGTCTTCTAAGCGAAGATTGCACTTTTATCTGAGGGCAGAGAGTACACTTTGTGGACACACAACAATAGGTAACACATGCAGAGATATAGGATATAGTATATACTGTCTGCATCAGAAGAATATCCTGGGCTATGTCAAAAACAGCAGGACCAGCAGGTCAAGGGAGATGATTTTGTCCCTACATTCAACTTTGGTGCAATCCCACCTGGAACACTGCATCTGGGGTCCAGTGCAAGAACAATATGGACCTGCTGAAGCAAGTCCAGAAGAGGGTTACCAAGATAATCCAGGTTCTGGAGCACCTCTCCTTTGAAGACAGGATGAGAGCCTCGGGATTGTTCAGCCTGGAGAAGGATCCAGGGACGCCGTAGAGCACTGAAAATCTGTGTACCTGGAGCCTCCAGGGCAGCTGGAGAGGGACTTTTGACAAGGGCCTATTTTGACTAGAGCCTGTAGTGACAGGATGAGGGGGAAAGTCTTCAAACTGAAAGAAGGCAGGTTTAGATGAGATATTAAGACAAAGTTCTTTACATAAGGGTGGTGAGACACTGGAACAGGTTGCCAAGAGAAGTTGTGGATGACCCATCCCTGGAAGTGTTCAAGGGCTGGGTTTCACAGAATTTTGAGAAACCTGGTCCAGTGAAAGATGTTCCTGCCCTTGGCAGGGGGGCTGGAGAGAGCTCAAACAAAACAACTTTTTTCCCTTAGTAGTGGTTCCCAATTTACACACCTCTTCAGTCTGTGCTTCAAATTGTCCTTAGCTGAAACTATTGCATGTCATACATTAATATTTGTAAGCCATCTTTGCAAGCCAGTAAAATATTGTGATGTAACAATGCACATATCTACTAAAAATAAAAGCTTCTCATGGCCAAGTAACAAGCCCCAGTGTGATTGATCAGGCCAGAAGATGTGGACATCTGTTTTCTCCTCAGAGGTGCACCTGTGCCTCTGCCCCCCCACTCCAAGCAAATGCCCAGAAGCAGTTCCCTTACACAGGTGGTGTGCTCTCATGGAATAGGGAATTGTAAATCACCTTCTGTAGGAAAAGCTGTAGGACCTGCGAGGAGCTCTGTTCTTTCTCAAGGAGATCTCTCCACAGCTGGGATGGAGAGGTGCCAGGAGAAGTCAGGTTGGCAGGGCTAACTGCTTTGGAAGCCAGAAGCATCTTCATTTTCTCACATACAAGTAGCTCCAGGGTTTGCTGCACTGCCCAGCTGCTGGGATTACAGTGTTTTCTCACTTGCCACATGTACCACCTCCTGCAAACTGACCAAAAAAATGTGAGGATTCCCCTATCAGATACCCCTAAAAAAGAGAGTGGATTTTCAGCAAGAGATTAGCCATAACCTTTCATATTTTAATTTTCCACATGAAATCCTGTGAATTCTTTTAAAACTGAACTAAGTGCAATGCAACACCATCCCCTTTCTCTCAGCAGGTCTTCTCCTTCTGTCCTCAGTTCTACTTTGTTCCTCTTTTCTGAACTCTCTGGGTTTGCTCAGTTCCACCTGCCTCATCTCTCTCAAGTCCCTTCCCTTGTTAATCTTACGTGACACTTAGGGTCCCTACCTGTCCTCAGTTAAAAGGTCAGATCCTGCTTTCACTTCATCCATGATCCTGGAATTTTTCACCCATTTTTAATGTATATTTCTGCTTTCCCTACTGAAACCATTCAGGTTAAGAAACAGCCC